TCGGAGCGTAGTGGTGAAATAAAATGATATAACAATTCAAATTTATTTTTAGGTTGCAATAATTATTGTTATTTCTAGAGCATGCCGAAAAAGGGAAATGAAAGATAAGCAAATAGATCATATTAAAGATATGGGCCAAAAACTATACATCAAAGTACTAGACACAAAAACTAAAACCGAAAGGTCATTCATCGTTTCTGGCAATTTCTATAATATTTGTTAAAAGTACATGAACCTGAGACCAAAAAATGTTGACAATTACCAAATTTTTTTGAATTATCAAAATGGAAAAAGCACTCGTCAGGTTGATGGACTCAATAAGTTATTGCCAAATTTTTACATTTGGAAAATCTAGAAACATATACTGAACACTGCTTCAGAAGATCATCTACAACCATCCTGGTTGATGGAGAGGATGACATTAAAGCACTATGATTCTGTATGCTATATGACGATATTGTCACAAATTTTTAAATAATTCAATTGTGTTCTGAGTCACTGACTGAAGGAGTTTAATCTTCCTCTTGAAGGTGATCACTTGATGATCGAAACACGTGTCGAGGTGTTAAAAATAACGATTTGGTGTTGGGAAAGAAACTCCAGTATTATTCATTACTATACCAAAGGTTCCAAACAGTGCATCATAAGTACATTCATTAGAATGTGTGAATTTTTAAGTTTATTAATTTCCATTGCTTCCAAATGATTCAGTTTCGAACCTTTATTTTCAATGTGCAAAATTTCGAACTCTTCATTAAAGATGTGATTTTCTTCTGGAAGATGATTTGAATATGTTGAATTTGTTTCCTTATTTACATAGCTCTTATGATGTTCCTGGATTCGATTCCTAAATGTCCTGCCAGTTTGACCAATATATACCTTAGGGCACGTTCCACATTTTAATTTACATACTCCTGTTTTCTCAAATTTGAATTATTTTTCTTTATTATTTTCAACTAACTTTCCCGACGTATTACTTGTTCTATATACAACTTTATTATCTCATTTCCTCAAAAATGAAGCCACTTTTTCCGTTGGTTCTTGAAAATACGTTAAAACTCTATAATTTTGATTATCTATCTTATCCATAGGAAAAACGTCTCGAATCGCTTTTGCTTAGACTTTCTTGGCAAGTATTTTGTGTATTAATTCGGCTTTAAACCCATTGTTAACCGCAATTTGCTTGATGATATTAAGTTCTTTATTGAAATTATCTATTAAAAGAGAAACATTGACTAATCTGTGAATCATGATATTATAAGCTGCTACTTTGTGTTGATAAGGATGAGTAGAATCGTAGTGTATAGTAATATCCGTATAGGACGGTTTGTGATAAATTGAATTCCTAAGGCTCTGTCATTCTCAATATTTTGTTTTCTGGGTTTCATAAAATCAAATTCTAGTGGCGCCCAACATTTTTTTGTGCTATCAAACGATACTCAGTTTAGACTTGAACCCATGCCCAATGCCGCCAGACGAAGAGCTGCCGTTTGCTGTGTATATATAAGTAAAATTTATGCCACAGTGTTTGTCAATCTGTGGGTCGTGACCCCTAGGAGGGTCGCGGAGCCTTACTCGGGGGGTCGCCGGCAAAAGAAAAAAAGGGAAGGTTCTACATGGTTCAGTACAGTAAAACAAAATTATAGTGTAAAGGATGAGCTTGTTTATTTAAAAAAAAAATCGTGGTGCTATTTTTCTAGAACTCTTGTCAACACCTTTCCTTTGGATAGCCACCTGACCTCTGTGTGATAAAGAAGATTGTGATAAAGCGCACCCATATCTTCACAAAGGATTCGAAATAGTCGTGTTTGTAAGGCCTTACCCTTGACAGAATTCACAATTCTGATGACCTCTTTAAGCAAGTCATTTAAATCAGAAGTTAAAACCTTAGCAGCTAGAGCTTGTCAATGAAGAAAACAGTGTGTCCATGATACGTCTGGCATTATTGATTTTAATTTTGCAACAAGTCCGCCATTTTTTTCAGACATACTTTTAGCACCATCGCTGCAAATAGCGATACATTTTTTCCAATCAATGTCATAGTCGTAAGTACTTTTTAAAAACATATCGTACAAACACTGTCCAGAAGTGTTTGCTGGAAGCGGTTTGCGAAATAATATTTTTTCCTCGATACTGTCATCTGCTTCATATCTCACAAACATTATAAACTGAGCACAATCTGAAACATCTGTAGATTCGTCAAACTGTAAAGCAAAATGTGGGCTCTTCTTTAATTTTTCAACTACTTGGTCTCGAATGTCATTGGCCATATCTTTTATTCTGTGTGAAATTGTATTATCAGAAAGAGGTATAATTTTCAACTTATTTGCCTCCTGCTTGCTGACCATAATTTCAATCATATCTAGAGCTGCTGGCAAAATAAGATTTTCGGCAATTGTATGTTGCTTCTCTGCTTTAGCGATGCGATAGGCAACTTTATAGCTAGCCAATAATGATGATTCGTTGACACTATATTACTGAAAACAA